TAATAAACCATAAATATTCAAAGAAATATGTATTGGTGGAAAAAATGACTATTTTCTCAAGTCCCAATTTCATTAAAATTTAAAAAAAAACACGGTTTTTTCGTCGGATTTGCCCTAATTTTATTAATAATCTAACTTCCTTTCCTCAGTAATCTGCAGTAAAATCTTTATCTTAAAGTCTGCCATACAAAATTAATTAGCAAAATCCCAGCGTTAATGAACAAGAGCCCGGTTAGAAAACGCAATCAACTTTCACGACGACGAACATTTTCCACGCTCAGCACGTTATACTCGTTTTGCCATTAAACTGCATGCGTATACAGAGGAGGGCGCGGCGTCGTCGGCGGCACCAAGGTGGCGCAGAAGTTTTGCTCTGCCTTAGGCGATGATGCTTAATTTCAAAGGGCTCCACAATCGAGTTTCCCGTGGGAGCCCTAGTTTTGATTAGAAAGAATTAAGAAACAGCCCCTTCCGCCTTCCCTCGCCCGGTTTTGGCGCTGAAAGTATTATGAGGTGCGCGTTTTGTTGTTGCAGAGTTGGTCTCAGGGAGTGAATAAAACTTTTACATAACAGCCAAATTACCAGCCGAATGAGAGAGTGTGTTGCCAAGTTTCGTCGCCGACGACGAAGAAACTTTCTGTCTTCTGCATTTTGTCTCTTGCCTAATTGGGTGCTCCGCAGACTGCCGGAGTGCGAAAGACAGCACAAAACTTTCCAACATGCTGCATTTTGAATTTTGGGAGCTTTTTATAATACGTAAGACGTAGTAGCACAAATATCAATATTATGAAATGAGAGAGGCATAAAGTTGCAACTTTTACATTACAGTTAAAGATTAAGTTAAGCTATACATTAAAAATTATTTTAAACATAAAAAGTTGTAATTAATCTTTAGAATTTCATTATAATTTTGAGATTTAATTCAATAAATATGCAGTTTTTAAATAATAAAAAAAATGTATTTTTGTGTGTCTGTGTGTTTAGTTTATCTTATCAATTTCTTACACAATACAATTTTTTTTCTTACCTATAATTTATTTGTTGTAAATAATTTATATCTATATTGACTGCTCCTGGTAGTATATCCATGATAAATTTGTATGCAAAATTTTTTGTGACAATGTTGGAGATTTACTAAATTTGTTTCAATAAATTGTTAATAACTAGATAATAATTAATTGTAAAATTTCACATTATACATACATGCTAAATTGCTATTATTTTTCATATTATTATTAGTTTATCGAAAATATATTGACATCTTACAACTTACAATCAAGAGGAACAACATAAGCCACAAATCATCAAATTTGATGTACAACTTTAATTTGTTTCAACTATTAACCTTATTTTTATGTTCCCTTTTCTTGAGAATATTTAAATAAATTTGAATCTCTAAAAATTTGCACTCTTTTCTAGTTTTTTTAACATCCTATATTTTTTTCATTAGTTTAATAATTTATCAGGGATATTGATATTTACATGCTAAGATAGCTCATGGGGTAGATAGATGGTGTTAACGTAGCATGAGATGTGAATATCAAGGGCCTAATTTACCATTATTTTTTGCTGTTAAAATTTTTTTAACCAATTATGTAGCCGTTTACGATTGCCTCTGGATTTCCACCTCAGTTGCGTTCGCCGTGCGCAGTTAGAATGCCAGCAACAAAAAGGCTTAAGCAACATAATTCCGGTGTGAAGTTTCTCTTTCGCGCTCACGCGAAACTTCTTTTGACAAAGCAGCAACTTTTGCAAACTTTCAGGCCCTTTCTGTTCCGCCACCAAAATATAAGTGAGGGGGGTGCCGGGGGTGCGTTGGATCCTCTCTTGCACACCCTTTCTTTATTTCCTACGAGTCGAGAGTGAGCACGTAAGAAATGTGTAAGTATTGTTCTGGCAGTTGGCACTTCGTCTCGCCAGAGGCCGTGTCGACAATCAGGGCATTCCAAGCGCGAGAAAAAAAAGAAATCAGCCTGAGAAGAAGCCCTTAGAAGTGCCCTCTCGATTTGCATAATTCGCCTCGTTTGAATCAATTTACTTTCTACTCCCTCGCAGCACACACGCACATATCCCGACTAATTTAATTCGCCGTGAAATTGTTTAAGTGCCTCTTCGCTGTGCGGAAATAAAGTTGGGCCTCGGAGAGTTGCGGAATTTATCGCATTATGTTCTTTTTGCCTCGGCGGCTTTCGCGAATTGTTACGCAGCGCCAGACTCACTGCTAAATAGGGGGTCGGATTATGCGAGGGAGGTCTTTGCATGCAAATTTAATGTTTCTTAAGGGAGATGCAAAACAAAGTTGTGTCGTAAATATTTTTCGGGTTATTTTATATTCCCATGCAAGATCCAAATGTTTTTGTAGCAGATTTGCAGAGAAGTAAAATTTTGAATACCAAGCAAGCACACATAATAAAATTTTTGAGAATAAGATTCTCCATAAAATTGTGGGATACTGAGTTTGGTGCTTTGGTAACGAAAATGAACTGAAATCTCGTTGGAAAGTAAACAAAAAATAGAATTTATGTCACTTTTAAACAACATAAAGCTTATTTCTTTGTTGTTTACTATTCTTTTGAAATATTTAACATTTTTTAGGGATAAAATGAAATGAATTTACCGTTTCCATTTCTTTCTTTCGTAGTTTCATCACTTTGAATTCGGGAATGTCTTTTTGTTAAGCTGATGTGTAAAGGGCAGAGTACACCACATCTGTTTTGCAAAGTTATTTTTTGTCAGCAACCGTGCGCCAAGCCACAGTCTGCTATTCAAACTGACATTTGTTCTGTTTGTTCAACCTCGCATAAAATAACTCCTTTTGGGAATTCCGACCACAATTTATTTTTAACAAACTTACGGGGTGGCACTTCCAGCCGACATGATGGTAATTTATGTCAGCGTCGCTCTCACCACCGAAATTCATACCGTACGAAAACCAATGTGTGCGTGTATTCGTGTACAAGCAAGCGTGAAAAAGCGGACCGAGTAATCACCATTATTGTTGTTATGAACCGCCATCAGTTTGTGCGGAGCAGAGCAAGCGGTTTATTTTTACGCGGCTGCGGCGGCCGCCGCTCAAATTTACAACACGCATGCAATTAAACATATGAAGGGCTGGTTTTCTCTCTCTTGAGCCGCCATTAGCACCACATGCACGGTGTTAAATTTACTGTTATGCCGTTATTATGAGACTGCCGCTGCCGGCGAACACCAGCAAACTCCCACATTTGGTTGCGCACCGCCTGCGAAAACGAACCGACCGCTATATAGAGTTAAAAAAATGTGTATGGGCGAGAGAGCACCGATAACAAGGTATTGATTTGGGCGCCTTCTGTAATTATCTGCGACTAAAACCCTGCGACGCACCAGGAAAAAATTAATAATGAAAATTACATTATAAGATAACCCTCGGTAAACATTATTATTCATATTATTTTTTTATGTTTACATTCATTTTTTGGACAATAATAGCACCACCATTAGCAGAATGAAATACTCAAAATAATTAAATAGCTTTTATATCAATAAAGTAGATACTTGTTCCAGGCTGCTTCAAAATTTTATATAATTCATTTAAAAATTTTACTTTTTATTGTTTTGTTAAGTCGTTAAGCATTGATCTATTTATGATAGTCGGATGAGAGAAATATCATTATCACAATGTTACAATTTTTTTTGGTTCAAATCATTTGAACTCCCGATAAGCTTTTGTATCGAATTATTATTTTTTCTTTTAGATTTTTTTAACCTAAAATAGCTTTCTTTGATATTTTTACATACAAAACAAAATCATCTACATGAGCTGCTTATTTTATCTAAAAATCACCCATTTTCCACAGCCTAATCCCAAACCCGCGTTTTCGCGTTTACATCAAAACAAATTTTTAGGCTAGTATGCTGTGGAAGTATAACAAGGAAAATCCGCTTTAGCTCTGATAATAAAACGTTTTCAAAGCTCCTCTCTTTTTATCATCGGAGGGCTCTAGTTTGAAAAAGGAGCGCACACTAATAAAGCGGCCTCATAGGTGTATCTGGTTTCGAACCAAATATTGGACAACGAACGCGTGTCCACAGACCGTATCCGCACACATTACTTTACACGCGTGGCAGCAGCCAGGACTGGAATTTCTGTGCGTCCTTTGCATTCCAGCGCACTAATGCGACTCATATTTTCGACGTTCACCCTGCTCTGTTTCTATATAGGGTTGATAGGGTGGCATCGCCGCAGCCGCTGGTTGTCACTCAATCTCGCACGTGCGCCGAAACAAAAAATAGCGAGAGAAGGAGGAAAGGGTGGTGATCGAGTGTTACGAGCCGCACCTCGAGATCCATTAGCGCTGCATTTTAAGGCCACTAATGCTGCGAGTAAAGCACTTTCTAATATGCATCGAGTAGCTCTCTGGAGAGCTCATTCCAATAAATATGGCTGCAACCGTGAGGGATTTTTAGAATTTTATCTCACTCGGTAAAAGAGACGATTTATTTTTATGCACACCCATCGAGAGATCTGTTTGCATTCTCGGTTTTATCTCGGCTTTGGCCCTAATGATCGGCCTGATTAAGGGGCCTCAGAGTTTAGTGATCTCCGAGTTTAATGCTACTTAAAAACCTATTTAATTCTAAAATAGAAATGGAACTTTACATTTTTAAGAGAAAAAGCCTGGAAATTCATTTTAAAGTATTTTTTAAATATTAGTAGACTGGCAAAAATTAAAATGAACTAAAATCGTATTGCTTAAATATAACTTAGTTTTATGAATATGCAGGCTGTGGATAAGAAAGGTGATTTAAATTATTTAAGGTCTATTGTCTATATTGATAAAAAAATTTAAAAAATTATTTTGTTAAATATATCAAATTTTTCAGGTGAAAATGAGATTAAAATTGAGTTGTATGTTCATGATGTTCTTAAATCTATTAATTTTTTATTTTTTAAATTGTTGTAACAAATTCAATTCTGAAGTTAACTAGAATTGAAATTAATTTACATCTAATTGTTTCAGACGCTGCAGAAAATACAGACGCAAAGCGATCAGTTTTCAACCCTTTCTGGTGAGTACTGTTGATCATTTCACAATGGATGAACTATTTCTCAAACTTGTAATTGATTCGTATCCTCTGCAACGAAATTAACCGTGGCTGCCGAGTTCGACCGTAAAGGAATCTCTATAGCTCTTTTCAAGTAGCTTCATTCGCCGCCTTCTCTTTCTACACATCGTCTCGAAGGAGCCCTTCAAACTTTGCCAATACTAATCCAAGATGCTTATTAGTTTATAGACGCACATATTAAAAACTCGATTATATCGATTACTGGCCCACCATCCGGTGAAAATTATATAGGTGTTTTTTTTCTCGCACAAGTGTGATGCTACGTCAAACGGGAAAGTTTTAACGGGCCACGTGCGCCACGCAAAAGGGAATCGCTAACTGCGTCGGTGATTAATGGAGTTTCGGCCCGGCTGTCATTCACAAAATGCGTGGCCATTTGCCAAAATCGAGTTTGATGGGCGCATCAAACACTGCCGCTTTGAGAAATTGAGTGGAGGTGCATCTCCCTCTCGCTAAAAATCTTCATTAACGCGCGCGGCCCCTGACGGGAAAAGGGTCGCTAAAGTTTGAATCGATTCAAAGCAACTCGAAGGCCGAATTTCATCAAGTGCTGATCCGGCGGGAGTTTGCCCTCCTTTCCGACGGACACTTCTCAGAGAGAGAGTTTTCAAACCATCAAATGGAAGTACTAAAAGTACTTCACTCTTTACGTTTTTGCAAAGTTAAATAACAGACGGTCGTCGTTCGCGGCAGTAATAAGCCCCGAACTTAAAGACTTTCCAGACGCGGTTCGCTTTAAAAAAAGGCCACTTTCGGCGCCGTTTTATAGGACCCCCTCCATATATACTCTTAAATACTTTAGCGGGGCGCCTTAATATTAAATTTTACGCAGATTGCCAGCCGCTTGAGAGAGAGCAGTGCGCGCTCTTAAGAAAATCAATAGCGCCGCGAGTTGGGCTAAAATTGAATACAAAGCACACGGACCCACCGGCCGACCGCATGGAGTGGCCAATTCAAGCGCGCCGCATGAAAAAACCACCAGAGAGAGAGGCTGGCAGGATTTTATTTCGCTCGAATTATCCGGGCGAAAAGCCGACGAGACGCGAGCGCGGTCAAAAGAGGCTACAAATTGTTGCGGCAGCATCATTAACCAAAAGTTTATTACAAAAGGGCCAAGTACAGCGAGTCACGACAAGTCTTTTGAACTTACAAATTGATCTTGAATAACAAATTTTCCTAATCAAACATAAAAAATTGATTCTTTATGGCATAACAAAAGATCATGCATAAAAATAGTTTCCAAATCATAAAGGATTATTGAAAAAAAATTAAATACATATAAAATTGTGTAAAAAGTTTTGTGTTTAACAATATCATTTGGATTTGAATATTTTTATGGACTTCCTATCCGTAAACTTTTACTGCCCTAAATGTGACCCCTCGAATCTTGATAAGATTTATAGCTACATCAGCCGTGTGTCCACCAATCCAACACTTGTATGTTCCAATACAATCACCCCCTCGGGAGGGAAAGAGGCGAGGGCGATTTACTATAGAATAAATACCACGCTCACATATTACAGCCACGAGCCATAACTCATGCTCAATAAAAAGGGAAGAAACAAAGAGATAAGTAGAAAAAAATTGTGACCTTTGAAAGTGAGTGTGTAAGGTATATATTAGAAGAGGCGCCTAAAGGGGTCAGACGAAAAAAGCAACCCTTCTGCCGGCAAAGTCGTGACCTTTCACCCGTGTGATATTTCACTTCCACGAGCTAGAAATTAAGGTTATCCTTTGTGTCTGTCTTTCTGTCTGGTGTGTCAGCAAGAAAAATAAACAAATAAGCATACGCGCTTTGACGCGACGTGCGTTTGACACGGTAATTTATTAGCGCAGAAGGGGATGAATTCGAGCGAAGGGTGGATTGATGACACCCGGATTTGACGCCGGCAGTCAAAATATTTGTCATTAGACTCGAATTTTTCACACGCTGTTGCGGTTTTTTATTGTGCGAAATTCGCGGCGGAAAATACATATTTTGGCTGTCAACGGCCCGCGCACGGAAAGGGCTGGGAATGCGCGAGTGTTTATTTATCGGTCGGCCGTTCAATCATGCGGCAATCGATACGCCAAGTGGCGCAAAAAACGCCAGCCGGATGGAAAGTGCACAAACTGCCACTGATTTGCATGGCACGTCGATTTGCGTTTTATGTGCGCTGCGCGGCGAGCATTAAATTTCGCGATCCTGCGGCGCAAAAAGTGCTCGAATGAGCGACCGCCCCGCACTCAATTCGCACTGTAAATTTACTATTGAGGTAAACGACTGGGAATTGGGTAAATAATATGTCTTTTGGGAGCAATTATCATTTGAAATATAAACACCTAAATATCTCCAAAGTAATTTAAACTTGGCACATGAGAGTTTTTGTGAATCTTTGGTATAATATTAATTAAATATATTTTTTATTACCTTTACACTTTTAAATATTTATTTTTGTGATAATAAATAATAAATTTTTCGTTATTTTCACCACTGTTGATTTAATATAAAAATTATTTAATATAAATATAATTTTACTTAATTAATACATATTTTAAAAAACAGTTCAAACTCATTACATGGAATTCCTGTAATATTCTGTTTAGCTTGTGGTTGTTATTTCTTGAATATAATTTTCCAAGACCAGGAATGGGTTGTATCGCATTTTTATCAAAATATAACAAGTGCTTTGCTTGGAAGATGTGAAGAATTTGAATTTCTTGAAAATTTAAAAATCTTCAGAATATGTTTTTGTTAAGAATAATATACACAATATACATATCTGGAAAAAAATATTTAATTTATAGGGAAATTATTTCCAAGCCCCGATTTTTAAAAAAAAATATTTCAGTATGTGACATCCATCAAGTGACAAGAATAACCAATTTTTTTGTTGTATAGACATCGAACATAATACTGCTGTTTTCATACCGTTCCTCCGCTTATTTCATTTTCATAGTTCTTAAAAGTAATGTATTCTTTTTATTACATATGAACATACACTTAAAAAACTTTAATTTTTTTTTTTCAGTGTAAAACTGATAAACTTAAGGAAATTTGGCCACAATCTGCGATCACTAACCGGCGTCACGATGGCACATCTCCCTTGGCGAAGATTTTCCCAATGAGAGAAGTGCGCGTTTTATCGGTGGCACGAATCCAATGTTCAAAGTAAACAAAACTCGGATGGAGGATCAATTTCACGGTTCGTGTTGCGCCTTAAATATTTATCGCAGCCGAAAAGCTGTCGCGAATAAATCGGTCGGAGCTGCGCAGTTTGATTTGCGTGCCTCGTGCAGGCATTTATACAAAAATAAAAGAGAGTTTGCATCGCAGACGGAGTGAATGGAAAGGGCCGCTTTTCATTAAGCTGAGAGTCTTTTGTGTTTTGAAACGACTGCTGTGCGTCCGCCAATTCCGCTTCGCAGAAATACAAACTGGCATTGTCCTGCGAGTCGATTTATTTCCTCTTTTGAACGACAGAGGTGGCGGAATTTTGTCGAGCGACGGGAAACAATTTTGAGTCTACAAACTTTCAAATTGGCTCAACGGAATTTTCATAAAAAAGCTCTTCCCTTTTTGTGTTCATCAAGAGAGAAAGGAATTAAGACACTATACTTAAAAAGGCATTTCTTTTACGACCAACGAGCATCTTAGAAATTTTAATCCTCCCTGAATTGGTACAGCAGTAGACAATTTAATTTCCTCGGCAGGCCCCTTAGTCGAACCCCTTCTGCAGAAACAATTTCCACCCCCGAGTGCACTTGGGAAGTGTAATTTTTGCGTCGACGAGAACGGCCCTGGGCCTCTGGTATCAAACTTTGCCCGCCGTGAAATATTTAAATGAGAGCTGCAGAGGGAGCGGCGAACTCGTTCAATTAATAAACACACGGCGATGGAATATTATTATACGCACTCGCTGCATATCATCATCATCATCCACGGTGCAGCGCCATAGTTGATTAAGGATGCGCACGGTAATTAACTACTTAGGCAAACATAATCGAAAATTGAATGAATAATCAGAGCCGTCGAGTGTGTTTGTGAGCGGAGGGTGCTGTTTGTTGTGGGCCCGTGTTTGCTTTGCAAAGGTGCGCCTCGCAAAACAGCCTCTTGGGCAAATTAAAGTGGTGCCTGTTAATTATTCACGGCGATTCATCATTATTTCACGTTTGACTGGCCAACTCGTGCCGTTAGTGCGCATACGTGATTAGGCCAGCTGTCAAAAACGAGTTAATTGGAGCTGCGGAGATACCGAGTGGATGTTAATAATTTAAATAACAGCTCAAAAAGACGTTTTTTGCTTACACTGCGGTATCTTTATTTATGCAATTAACCACGTTACAAATATTACAAAATAAATATTTTTGTAAAAATAAAAACATTTATTTTTATTGTGAATTTTACCAAATATTTGAATATTTTAGTTACTAACTGATTTTTTTTTAATTAATGTGTACTAAATTTCTTTTTTTTTTTATTTATTTAAAAATTAATTTTAAACTAGCGGGAAACTTAAAAACGAGCAGTACTAATAAAAGAAAATAATTTTTTTGGTTTACAGCTTGTCCAATACCCTATCATGAAACCCATAGTATCTGTGAATTTTTTTACTGAGAGTGTCTCTTGCCTACTCAGGGTAGTTATGAGTTACGTAGAAATTAAATATAATGTATATATATAATATGAAAGAAATTATTATTATTAGAGTCAAACAGATATCAAATTACACATTAAATTTGGAATTTAAATTTTGACTTAATTTTTAAACAAGCAAAAATCAGAAAATTGATCAATCAGATCTTGCGATTGAAATTTGCACAGATAAAAAAAATGGCGATTTTATATAAAGAAATTCTAAAGAACTATTCAATTTTTTTACTCCTATGTGGAATTGGGCTCGCGTGGTTTGCCGAAATTAGGTCGCCGTGAACGCAATTACAGCTCGCGGAAGTGCTCCTAT